TACTCCACCGACATCCCGCCCACGGGGTAAGCGCCGCCCGCGGCTTCGGGGAACTCCCTCGGTGCCCGGCAGCACCAAAACCGCCGTAATTCACCCCAATCTCCCCTGCTGGGCTCCCCGAGGGCACCAGGGGGTAGGTGAGAAGCCGAGGGGATCCCGCGTGGGAACAGCGAGCGGCGCCAGGGCCCTCTCTCCTGTGAGGCAAACAGCCCCGACCTGCTCCTGCTCCCCAGCAACTTCCCCCAGAAGGGCCTTTGAATACCAAGAAAATGAGGCAGCAAAACAGCACGCTAATGTGAAAGCAGGGGGTTAAAAATATATATCCCTAGCTAAGACTAGCTGGGACCAAGGGTCTTGTCACCAGTGAAACTTCAAGTTCAAGTGCTGCAAGCAGCAGCAGCCTGTGGGAACCAGTGAGTGCGAAGGGAAGCGGCACTTTCAGGGCTATTTTGAGAGACCCTGTGGCACACGAGCTCGAGGGCTCCCTGGCCTCTGCTTTCCATATGAGTCTAGCTGGTGGCTGGGAGGAACAAGCACTTGGGCAAGGGCAAAGGACACACAGGACTAAGGTTAACAGCAGCCTGTAGTCACAGTCATATCTAAACTTTTTGCATTACTGTTTTTCTTCCCATCCAGTACTGTTGACTTCATTGGAAGCTGCTACTTCACAGAAATCTGCAAATGCAAACTGAAGAACATCGCATGCTTGAAATGGTAAGGGTGTCCTCAACACTAACACCTGCTCAACAGGCAGCAGTGCTGCTTAACCTCTCCTGACTGACTGCTGCCAGGCAAGAGTTAAGGAGTGAAGCAGCAGATTGCACTTGCTACTTCAAATTTCATTTAATGCTGCTGGATAGAAGCTCAGCCCAGTGCTTCTGCACACAGTTGCCAGTCTATTTCTGTGCAAGTCCCCAGTGGAAATGTGACAACCTCATCAATAGGCTGAGTGTACAGGAAAGCTTGCATGCCACCTGCCTGATTAAATGTCTGCTTCAACACAGAGATAATTGTGTGAATAAGGCCTCAGTAAGAAGTAGTTACTCATTCTAATTAATAGAACATCCTCTTGGCAGATCGAGTTGTCGCTAGCAGATGGAAGATGCTGTCACTGAAGTTCTTGGAGTTCTTTTATCCTTTTTATTAAGGCCTGATATTTAGGATTCAAAACAGAGACTCTGGTAACATTTCATTTGGAGTTACTCACAGGGATGCTAATAACTAAGACTCTTACCTTGCTCAGATTTAAATACAGGAAGTTTGTTACAGAATACAGTTGTTTTAGGTAGAAGTACAGAAATGAAAATATCACTGAGTACATGATTAAGCTAGCAGGAGACCTGTTGTCCAAAGTTTCACCCAAGAGCAGATAAGGCTTTGATATTCTCAGTCTCATTACTGCTATTTTCTCTCATGCACAGTGCTTCTGTACAGATGCACTGTATGTGCATGATCAAGCACTTCTACATGGATTCCAGCACAATCACTGGCCTTTAAAAACATTTTTGGTTTGTTGGTATGTAAACTACTCAGGATTACACAATGTAAATTACAAAATGGTTCCCTGCCAAAGATCTAAGGCAGAGATAGTCTGCAACTCCTGACAGATGTGCTCTCAAATATTTTAATTCTTGTTTAATATTCCTTTAACTTCATCAACATAGGAGCATTACATAACAGTCTATCAAGCACAGCAGCTATTTAACAGTAGTCTAAGCTGGAAAACCAGCAGCTAGCTGTTTGTTAGAATTTATGTTGCTCATTATTCCACTTGTCTTTCCAGTGGTAACATTGTAGGTTATCATGTGATTTCTCCATGCAAACCTTGCCTGCTCTCCTGCAATAACGGCCACTTCTGGATGTTTCATAGCCAAGCAGTCTTTGGCATCAACAGACTAGATTCCTCTGGTAAGGAACACTTTCCTATCTCTTCCCTCTAGTGTTGAGTCCTGACTCCTCTTCTTAATGAGGCATCTCAATATAGTTAAAGCATATGGAGAGAGTACAACATATGGAGGGATAAGGCAAAGTGTTATTTTATTGCCAATCTAGCAAACTACTTTGTGGGAGGCAGTTGTAGCATCTTTGTAAATGAAGATTAATCTCCGCTTTGAAGTTTACATCAGAGTTTACCATGCCCCTTTTCTGCAAGCAGAAATGAGGATTTTCTGAAGCACTCTAGCTAATATAAACATCAGCCCCAAGCTGCTATTTATAGCAGTATGTATAGCTGTACTGTGCTATCAGGCAGCTGTCCAAGGGACACTTTTGGACAAGTCATTGTCATTCTGACCCTATAACTCAGTTCCCCTTAGCTCAAGCTGAAGTTACAGCTCATATTAACTGCTTTAATTAGATGCATCTGTTTAGATGCCAAGTGTCTAACATCATTTGCCTTGAGTTCTCAGGGGTGCACAATATTCTGACAAATCAGTTCTCTTCCTTGTGCATGAGATTAATTTACTGTCTAAACCTTTCAGTGTCACTCAAGATCAATGCATTTAAAAAAAACATGATGAGATTATCAATAGCTATGTGAATACAGCTGTGGGCAGGGATCTAAACAAGATTTAGAAGATCACTTTGGAAGAAAAACAAATATGAAATAGTCCAGGTCTGTTTAACCTGAACTTGACTTGCAAGATATTGCAATGATCAGAGCAGCTATTTTCTCTAAAAATAGTTGTGCAACTTAAGCCAGGTCACGATCCAAAATTCTTTTCCTCCTCCTCTTTCTTGCTTCCCTCCCACCAGGTGTCAATGTATTGCTCTGGGGCAACTTGCCAGATTTGGAGGAAGGCACAGATGAAGATGTGTCATGCATCTCTGAGGAGGAGTATATCAGATAACTGTTACCTACAATATACCTCAGTGTCTTCCCTTGTTATGTTGCATTAATGTTTCTTTTGGGTCTTTTCTTCTGTTTCCTATTTTCCTGCTGGCCCATCAGAGCTCAAAAATATAGGAAACTGGGTATTCCAGAAAACACTCCTAAAGAAAGAAGGTACTTTCCTATTTCACTGCAGTCTCTCCTACCTAGGCTCTTGCTGCTGCCTACCTGCATGTCATTCTGATCTAGGGCACTCCTTGGATAGATCAGTCTTTCATACCTGCCATCTGCCTATCCAGATATCATTTCTGAAGTCTGTTTTGTTCTTTCTTTGAAGTCTCAACTGTGAATCTTTTACTTGTATTTTCATTTTTCCCTAAAACAATGTTCATGGGCCAAGTTTTAGTCACTATAAACACAACTCAACAATATTGAGAATTAGCCTGGTTGACTATGATGCTCTGAAAGAGCTTTGCTTTTGAGATCACACAGATCCCAAACATTTAAGGCATACTAGGATATTCCTGAATGGGAGCATGAGGAGCCATCATACTAAGAATCCCCATCTTTCTCTTTCAGTGCCTCTGATCAATTTTGATAGAGGATAGGTCTTGTTCCCCTCAGTAGAACTGTAATACTGTAGTTAATGCCTAATATACCCCAACAATTACAGCAAATTTTTCACTAGTGTCAGCAATAAAACCCCATCCCCTTCAGGGCATTTTCCTTAGAGGATAAAAATCTCTTCAAAAGAGAATCCAAAGATGTGAATGGGAATCTTCCTAGAGAGAAGACACACAGGTTAAATATTCAATGACCATGCCTAGTCTTACACACTAGAGCATACAGACAATCAAATTCTTGGAGAAATAATGGATTATCTGAGTAACTTCAGTCATAGTATTTAATTTATGAATGAGATACTGTCCCTTTAGCAAGTCACCTGACAAAGTCTTTGCAAATAAGGCTACAATCATACAAAGTGACACTTTCAAGCTCAGACTGATGCCAAAGTCCAGAGTAGCACAAGAGGCTAAAGTGCCATGGCAAAGACTGAATTGTGTTTTTTTACTGTATATTATGTATTTCTTAATGGTACTACCTCTTATTCATGGTTTGAAGTATGTATTTGTATGTGTGCATGTGTATAGTTTCTTCTGTGTATATATGTCATTTTAACTTCCTGTGTCATATACCTGCTCATTAAATGAGTTTGACAACATTCTCCTGAGTTGTAAAAAAGTAGATTTATAATGATACAAGTTGAATAATTGAAACAGTGAAACAGCACATTGAAGCAAGATTAAGCTAATTGATTAGGTTCATGCTACCATTCATTTTGTTTCAGACACCATTCACTTGCTTTCTAGGTGAGAAACCTGCCAGTATTCCAGTCTTAACTGAAAAAGGTACCTAAGTAACTTGTATAACACAACATCCCACTCTGGCACTTCTGTGCTGCATGAATCAGATCGTGTTGTGACTGCAGCATTAAGTTGGCAAGGTGACATGTAACACAAAGATTTTTTTGTCAGAATTTGTGAGCTCCAAGTACGGTTAGCATAATATTTTGAATAACATTCTTCTCATACAATCCTGTTTTGTTGCAAGGTTAGCACTTACAAAGCTGAGCTTTGGGAAGGTTAAAAATGGCAACTGCCAGTCAATTCCATGTGGGAGCTGACCGCAGAGCTGTCCTTACTCCTGATGCAGAGCTAACCTCTCAGCAAATCAATAGTTCTCTGCTTGTGACTTACACTCATATCAGAACTGGAAGTTCTGCTATGAACTATAATTACCCAGACCTGTTTGAGCGAGTTTATCTTAATCAGGCAACAGCTTGAAATTGAGAATGAGCCAACTCTTAAGGGTTTTTTTTTTTTTGAGGATAAAGTGTATATAATGTAAACAGGCATCACCTACTGCTCCAGCTTGAGTGCTACCAGACAAGTTCATCACATCCAGAGCACCTTCTGTTCTTTCTATATGAAAGAGAAGGCATGGCATACTTCACATCAAGTCATCCTTTGCTATAAATCACCTAATTACTTTATCCTGAAAGGTTTTTACATATTTTATTACATTTGCAGACTGTGGTTTCTGAAAGCATACCCCAAGGAGTGCACATACTCCAAGTAAACAGCCTTTGTGTACTATTATTTGGATTAAGGGAGTGTCTCCAGGCTGGCACAGCGCAACTGTGGGAGCCTATTGTGCAAGAAGCTGCCCGAGCACAGCAACTTGTGGACTCAAAGAGCTTGCACTGTAAACAAGAGAGACAGCCAAGGGGTGGGAAGGGAAATGCACTGTTGGCTCCATCAGGACAGATCAGAGGGAAAGGCTGAACTGGGTAAACCTGAAGAGAAAACTCTTTAGTCTTCAGAATGCAACAAAGAACTGGGCTCTTCTTGTGACTACAGGTCCTTTCTCCCTCTTATATCAACATGTATTTGCAAGTCTATGAATACATTCCACTACAAATACCATCAATCAT